CCATCTGGTCGTTGAATATGCGCGTGATATTCGCGCGTCCTCGCATTCCATCCTCGCTCGACCAAGATGCGGCGCGAGATTGCAGTGCCAAACTGGCATTGGGAGAACGAGGCCACGACCATGTTCGCCATGCACCCCATGAGCAGCGTAGCGGAGGGGCACTCCCCGAGGTATCGGCGCGCGCTTCATCCCAAACCCGCGCTAGATCATGAACAGTTCCAGATCGATCACGTGGCCGCCGATTGTTGCAAGCCGCTTCGGAAGCCCAAGAAGGCGCCACAGGTCCTTGTCCGACTTGCACTTGTTAGTGAAACCGCCGCCTGACAGAGAACGGCAGTCCAAATTAATCGCTGAACGCAGCAACTGCTGTCCGAGCAAGCTGCGCGAAATACGACAACGGAACTTCAACCACGACTGGCAGGAAAAGCTACAAACACAAACCCAACATCGAAACTCCGTCGACACACTGCTCCGAACAAACTTCCTGCGCAAATGCCCGGAGGCAAAAACCAAAGGCTGCAATACTAAAGTCGGCAGACTCTCTACCTGCCACGCGTGTTCACTAGCATCCATTTCAGGCTTCGCCCAAACCGTGATCCTGCCAAGCATAATCAAACACCATTATACCACAAAGAATATCGGAATTGACCCGATCAGACAAAACGGTCCTTGCATGTATGTGTACAAGTCTTGATACGCCATGCTCCATGTATGCGAGCGCCTGTGTTCATCAGCTCGCAAACCATTAAGCATCGAAGGCAGCATTCGTCCAACTGTCTCCCCGTTTTCGCGTGGAGATATATTCGGCGACGTCCGCGCCCAGATTCGGAATAGTAGGTCCCGCGTGAATCGTCGCATCGATGCCGGCGGTCGTTTCCTAGGCACCTTGTTTGGCTGGAGCGGGCGAGCACGCGCTGGTGTATCATCATCTGTAGGGCTACACGCTCGAACCTTTGCTCTCCAAGGCCTGCATCGGCGAGCGTTTTCTTATTCGGCGTTTCGACAGTGGGCGTTTAAAGAAGGGAGCGGGGGTCTGGTTCCGGAGCTCTGCTTATGGCGACTGTTGGCAACAGCGCGTCCTGCGAAAGAGGGACTCCGCACTGCTCGGAGCAGGCCCCAAAATAGCCAAGATCTACTCAACGGGGGAGAAGGGGGAACGAAGGCCCGCGCACTTGGGCAAAACAATAAACAACAACACGACCACTAACTGGTATCGGCCCTGCCTGGACCACAGAAACCATTTGCGCGGCAGTCGCCTCGCTTTGATGTACCTCTTCAAACACGCCTCAGGCCAACACAGCTGTTCGAAACAACAGGTCACTAAGTACATACTGTCGTTGTTTACCCTCTCGCGTCCGCTTTGCAAAACCGATGTGTGCCACGCCGTGGCCGCACCACCCATATACATTCGACTCGCCCGACACACTCACATGCCGGGATACAGCTCAACACTGAATTCGCCGACCTTGTCGGCGTGTGTGAGGGGCTTGTCTGTTCAAGTCGTCATCTCCGTCATTCGTTGGTCGTCGTCTCTGTCGTCCCCTTTCCCTGCCTCCCCCTTTCTCTGGGCTCGTCGAAACTCCCCCATTTCCCAGAGACTTCCTCAGCGCGCCAACCAGAACGAAGTTGAACAACGTCGAAATTGAATCGAAGGAAAGCCCCTTCCCTTCGATCCATCCCCCGCCAGGGGGGAGGGGGGGTCCCCGGGGGGGGGTCGCGGGGGGGGGTGCTGGGTGGTCCCAGGGGGGGGCAGGTCAAAACGACGCCCCCCCGGGAAGTCCCGGAGACCCAAAAAGCCCCAAGACGGGCCAAAAGTCCCCCAAAAGGCCCCGAAGACAGTCCAAGAGAACCCCGAATCGCCGAACGATCTGTCCAAGACGCCTTGACGGCCTCCAGACGGCCCAACAGGCCTGCAACGCGCCCCAAGAGGCCCCCAGGAGCTTTCCCACGAAAGCCCCAAGAGGCAGCATTCATGGATTCCCCATACATTGTTAAAGGATTTTGGCGTTCTTGCCTCTTCCGCTTCCCGACGCGCCAAGACGGCCGAAGAGGCCCCTAAGATCGCCCCGAGATGGCCCAAACGGCCCCCAAGAGGGCCCCCTAACAGCCAAAGGGGGCCCCAAGACGGCCCAAGACGCCTCCAAGACGGCCCAAGAGGCCCCCAATATTGCCCCAAGACAACCCATGAGAGCCCCAAGTTGCCCAGGAGGCATTCCAAAGTGCCCCGAGACGGCGCAAAAGGAGCCCCGGACGACCCAAGACGGCCTCAAGAGAGCCCCAGGCTGTCCCAAGAAAGCCTCTGGCCTCCTCCTCTTCCTCCTCCTCCTCCTCCTCCTCCTCCTCCTCCTCCTCCTCCTCCTCCCCGCCCCTCTGCTCCCCCTCCTCCTGCTCTCCTCTGCCTCCTTCTCAACCTCTTGCTTCTCTTCCACATCCTTCTCCCCCCTCCTCCTCCCTCATCCACTTCCACACTTCCTCCACCTCCCACTCATCCTCCTCCCCGTGCCCCCCCTCGTTTCATCTTCGTCGTCCTCAAAGCCGGCCTTCGCAATATTGATCAAACTCCACAGTGCGTGCCGCAAGGGTGGCTCTCCGCGCACGGGTTGCATGAGTGTTGCCAACATTTTCGCGCGTCGACCCCTCGGCGCCCGAAATCAAATCGATCAGGCTCTTGGTCAGCGTCCGAAACAAGACCGCGTGCATACACAGCTGAAGGGGTAGGCATTCCCTGCAGAGCCACACCACTGGACGATCAATTGGTCAACGTGGCTGATGACTATAGCAGGAGGGGGCGAGAAAGCATGTTTTTGCGATCGACGATACGTATGTGTATACGGATTGTTCGAGAAATCCCGTTGCAAAAGCTGGCGTGGAATCGCGCAACCGATCTAAAATTGAATGGCGTTGAAGAACATGTGCGGGGACGATTGAACGTCTCGCGCTCGTCCCCGGCAGCGCTGGTTATCGAGGATGGGGCCTCTGGACGTTTGAACGCAGCCTGCTATGCGCAATGCCCTGGGGACAGTCTGGGCCAATATTGATACAGGATGAAATGTGTACACATTAAGCAACGTTATCCTGACAATGGCGGGGGAAGCAATGGTATCCTCCATCCCTCCGCCCTCCTCCCTTCTCTCCCACGCCTCCCGACCCATCCCCTCCTCCCTCCTCCCTCGTCCTTCGTTCCTCATCATTCCTCCCTCCATGTTTGTTCCTCCTTTCTCCTCTCTTTTTTCTGCTCCCTCTCTCCTCCTACCAACCCTCCCTCCCTCCCTCCCTCCCTTTTCCCTCCCTCCCTTGTCCCTCCCTCCCGCCTCCCTCCCAACCTTCCTCCCTCCCTCCCGCCTCCCTCCCTCTCCCGTCCTCCCTCCTCCCTCCCTCCCTGTCGCCACGGCCCCAAGGGCTCCCAGAAGGGACCGGCAACCGCGAACAGGACCCCTGGGGCGGCCGGAATGATCCATCCGATCGCACCCGCCGGCCAGTGACATCGCCGCCTTCGGCGACGGGCCCCACGTGAATGAATTGATCATCTGGAGGAGAAGGATGAGGAGGCGCGGAAGAGGGAGAGGGACGGCGGGGGGCGGGGGCCTTCGGGGCGGGGGTGGTTGTGGTCGCGGCCGTGGTCGTAGTCGCTGCGAACGCGGACCTGGTCCTGGTGTGGGTCGTGGTGAGCGTCGCGCTGCCGCTGGTGGCGGTCGCGTTGGCGGTGGTCGTGGTGGTTGTCGTGCAGTCAGAGGTCGCAGAGGGACGGCGGGCGGCGGAGGCGGTCGTGGCGGGCGTGGTGGTGGTTGTGGCCGTGGCCGTCGGCGCTCCGACCGCGGACTCAATCCTGGCGGTGGTCGTGGTGATCGTCGCGCTGCCACTGGTGGTGGCCATGGTGGTGGCGATGGTCGTGGTGGTTGTCGCGCTAGCGGTTGTCGCGGTCGCGGCGCTGGCGGCGGTCGCGCCGCGTGCCCTGCAGGTGGCTGTGGTCGTCTTCCTGGTGGCCTAGGGCAAGAACGCGTTCAGCAGCATCTCAGCGCTCCCTCTTTGGAGGGTCCTGCCGATTTGCCGCCAGAGGCCGCCCAACAGCTCGGAGCGCTCACCGTCGTCTAAGCCGGCTCCGTAGCGCGGAGAAAGCTGACTGTTTCATCGCTGGCTCCCTGCTCCCACCTCCCTCCTCCCTCCCCCCCCCGCCCCCATCCCGCGTCCCTCATCCCCCTTTCCTCCTCCTTCCTTCCTCCTCCTTCCTTCCTCCTCCTTCCTTCCTCCTCCTTCCTTCCTCCCTCCTCCGTCCTCCGTCCTCCTTCCTCCCACATCCCTCCTCCCTCCTCCGTCCCTAGTCTATGTCCTCCCTTCTCCCCCTCCTTCTTCCTCCTCCCTCCTCCCTCCTCCTTCCTCATTTCTCACTTGTTCCTCCTCCTCCTCCTTCTCGTCCTCCTCGTCCAACTTGTCCTCTTCGTCCTCCTCCTCGTCCTCCTCATCCTCCTTCTCCTCGTCCTCCTCCTCCTCCTCCCCGTTCTCCCCCACCTCGTCCTCTTCCTCCTCCCTCCTCCTCTTCCTCCTCCTCCTCTTACAGGTGCTTCCCCAAGGGTTCCCACAACGGCTGGGGGAGCACGAAGTCCAATTGCTTGGCAAATCTAAGGCCCAACGTATGGCAAGATGGGTACTTCCGGCACGGAACGGCGGTGATCTTGCCAAACACAAGTTCGATGAACTGTCGCAGGTCCGCGCGGGTTTCGTGGGTCGGCGCGGGGCTCCCCTCACCTGGCGCACGAAGCGCGCCAGGGGTAATTAACGCCAGAGGCGCCGCCAAAGAGTACGGCGCCGACCCAGGACTTCCGCGCGGACCTAGGAAGGTCAAGTTTACAGGTGTCTGTTATCCGAACAGTACAAGACCCCGCACTGCCGCAGGGGCACCACGCGGCTAGTTACGGGGGCGGCGTGAGAAGCACCAACGCTCGAAAGAGCCATACAAGAACGTGCGACGCGCCGGCGGCGAGAGGGGGAGCGAGGGCGCTGGCCTGCGAGAAAGGTATGGTCCTGTAGGAGCCGTCCCTGTCGTCCCACTCGACGGTGAGGGACTGCTTCTCCTCCTGCACCTGCGAGGCCCCCCCCGAGCATCAGCCAAGTCAAACGGGTCTGCACCCTCATGCCCTGCTGAATTCTGGCCGCGTTCTGGCACTCCAGAATTGGCGTCGGCTTCCGCTTTGGCTCCGGCTTCAGCTGTGGGTGCGCCGTGAAGCGCCTTCAGGCCAGCTAACCTGAGTCGTTTTCCCGCTCGCGTGGGGCCCCTCCCCCCCTCGCCTGCGAGGCCGAAGGTAGGCAGGCAGGAGCAAGCTCGGTCGGGGAGCTGCCGCGGGATCTCACCGGAAGCGATGATGGCCATCGTGCTTCAATGAGGAAGGCTGACAAGGGACCGAAGGGGCTTTGCTGGCCACCGCGAGCCTCGGCCACGAATACAGGTCGCACGACCTCGATCTAAGGAACAGTCCGAAAGCTTGAGCCCCTCCAGAGCCCCAAGTGGGCCGCATTACAGCGCCTTGACTGCATAACAGGACGTTCTTGGGACCCCTTCCCAACGATCGCCCTGCGCCGAGCACTGAACCACCCTCGTTTCCTCCAATCCCCCGGCCGAACGACACGGCGTATAGCCATCCCTCGCCAAGGGTCGGCGGGCCCGAGGGACGAACTGGGAGCCGCGGCCATTCTGAGAGCGCTCCGAGAGCGCCGTGGCACGCCCTGGAAGAACTTGACATCGTGGGCCTCCCTGGGCATGGGTGACGCCGAGGGGGAGCGTGCTGCGCTCTGGGCACACAGGCCACCTAAACAAAAACATGTATCGCGCTCCGAAAACTGCACCAGGCGCGGCTCCAAAGGTGGATCGACGAGGGACTATCGCTGCATTGAGAATGCAAGCAACGAAGCAAGCATGCAGCATGCACCTGAGCGAACAGGAATCCGCAGACACAATCAACACACACACACACACAAATGACTGCTCAAACAATCGCGCAAGCAAGCGTGCGCACAACAGCATAAATCGCGCATGCAAGCAATCTCGCAATCGATCACTCAGTGACACACGCATGCGAAGAACCAGTGGCGAAATACAATCAACGCGCAAGTAGGCGAGCAAACACCGAGGCATGCAGAGAATTATTCAAGCAACAAGCCTGCAAGCAAGCAAGCATCCACCTAGGCTAGCTACCTAACGACCAGAGAAATAATTCGGATTTGCCTTCGGACTCGGAACAGGAGCCATGCGCAAATGACATGCGCATGTATCAAGATCATAGCGCAGGGGTAAACGGCACCAGTCGTGTCGTCAACAGCCCACGGAACGCATGTTCGGAGAGCAACTGCAACGAGCACCGCCACCATCCCGCCCAAGGATCGGTGCGAACGCTCACGATGGCGCCCTGTGGCTGTCCGTGTGCGCCGCAAGCACAAGGGTGGTATCTTTCCTCGCCCTGGGGACAGAAGTTTCCCTTGGCAGTCAAACCAGGTCCAGGATGAAGGGCGAAGGGAGCTGGTCAGGTTCTGGCGGGGGATACGCCTCCATCCTCCATCTGCGCGGCGGCACTAGCGAGTCACAGATGCGAGGGGCAAGAGAACGAACACGTGCGAAGTGAGCGTAAGTTCTGCAGAGAAAGGCGGGGGACACAATATTAAGGGGTAGGCGGCAGGGGACGAGGAGAAGGAGATGTAGTAGAATAAGCAACGGCAGGACGGGGGGAGAGATCAGTGTTGCCATGCAAGCAAAGCCCTGCCTTGGCTGGGCTGTCAGATTTCGTGTCTGCTTGCGCGGTCCATCCCGCACGAGGATGCTACCGAGTCGAGCCCATCGTCTGCTGTGGACAGAAGCTCCAACACGCAAGCTCAAACTCACGACGAATCAGAGACGAAGCAGAGCGCGAGATGCGACAAACATGTTGCCAACACAGCGGGAAGCGCGGGGATCTTGGCCGCATGCCACCTCCACCTCCATTCCTCCCTAGCCAACGAAAGAACTCGTGGATAATGGTAGGACGGGAATGATGACATGATGCGAATGGCTCAAGGTACGTTCCAATAATCCTGGAGTATCTAGCAGCCCTCGTTTCTGCATCACATGTGGAGCAATGTGAAATCTACAACATGATGAACACCTTGAAACTTATCATTCGCATGACGCCTTGCTCCACGAGCATCCCTCTCTGGCCAAAGAACAAAGCAACGGCTAGTGGAGCCGAGCCTCCGTCACCGTGGCAGCATAATAGCAGCCGTTTCCTGCCCAGACGGCGTAGATGCGGTCCCCAGTCTTCCACCTGGGCGACGGCACCAGGCAGAGGCAGGTTGAATGGCGCGGCATTGGTTCCTGACACTGCCTGCATCGTTCAAACCTGTAGCAGTTTTCCGATCACCGAATCGGTCCACATTGGCTGATTCTGGGCCACTAGCGGCGGTCAACATTGAACGCGGCCGTGTCGACACGACGCGAACCTGCCGTAACACAAAGGAACGCCAAACAAAGAACGAGGCTCTGTTTTGCCCCAAAACGCCCGGGTGCACGAGGGCCGCGTGAGGAACAACAGCGGAAGGATATGAGAAGCAGCGAGATGCTGTTCGAATGCGTCTTGCTGAGGGGGAACGATATGGGGGACTGGCGCAAGGGGTGGGGGAACATCGACCTGGAATCGGCGATACGTCGCCGATAAATCGGCGCTAGGCCCCGATCGCGGCACCAAACGTTCCTGGGCGGGGGGTGGGCTGTCGGGCCCCTACCGGCGATGAGCGGGCGATCGGGGGTCGACGCACTCCTCCCCCTGAGCCCATTGCGCCTCTTTCGATTGTACAGTTTCTTGGGCCACCGAACCGAGATCCCCGCGGGCCGCCTTTCCGAAAGGGCCACCCTCGAGAGGGGGGCAGCCCTCTGCGACCCCAGCCAGGCGGCAGGACTGACCCGCGCACCCCACGTGGGCGGCATTTCCCCCGACATCACCTTTCCGACTCAAGCGGGCCGCGAGCGCCCCCCGCCCGATCGGGGGCTGGGAGGTTCGCGGGGGAGATCAGCGCGATGCCGAAGGAAAACCCCCAGGCCTTCAAAGCACTCGCACTTCGGGGGTGGCACATTTACCCTGAAATGCCAGCTGCGCGACCCAGTGGGGCTTCAACGCAGAGACCTTGCCGCAGCTGAACTCCCCGCTCGAACTTGCGAGGCCTGGCGGGGCGAGACAGCAGAGCACCGCCCGAACTTCGCCGCGGCGGCAAGCGAGGGGGGCCGAGCGCAGATCGTCGCTCTGAGCCTAGAGCCCCAACCACTCCCTCGGACGCGCGGCGGCCCGCATTTCCAATCGCCCCCGACAGCGAGCGCCAGTCCACCCGCGCGAGCAAGCAACCCTAGGCCGGGCCAGAAAGCGCGACCCTTCAGCCCACTAGGCATCACCCCCAGACGGAAGACGCAGTAAAACAACTAAAATCCCCTCAGGGATAAAACGCATTTGCGCTGCAGGTGCGAGCCCTCAAGAAACTCGGCAAACTAATGACTTTCACCCCGGGGGGCAGGCGCATCCCGGAATAGCGACGACACCCGACTCCGACACCTCCCGAGAAACCGTCTCCCTGGGTGACAACGGAGAGGCTGCCGCTGCACTGCGAGCCGAACTTAGCCAAGCGTGACTCTGCCTCTTTAGCTTCGACGCGGGCCCGGGCGATCTCCTGGGGCAGGAGGGCGCCCGCTCGAGACTCGCTCGCCAAAGAAATCACCAAACGTGCAGATATGTCGCCAACCAATTGCATAAGCGTTTCCAGCCAGAAGCCCATGCCGCCGCTTCTTCGCTGGGGCCCTTTGCGGGGGGGGAAGCTCGCGCGAAAGAGGGGGGGGCCCGGACTGAGCGGCGAGGCAAGCTAGGAGAACGTTAAAAATCCGACAGCGGATTTGCTTCCGCCCGCGAGGCACCGAGCGCCGCCCGGGCGCGGAGAAGGGCATCAACAGGGCGTTCGCGACTCAGTGGCAGCCGCAGCCCCAACGCCCACCAATGCCGCAGGGGCATCGGCAAGGATGTTGACGGCATCCGCCGCCGCCTGCGGTTCCGGCGAGCCCAATTCCTGACCTGCGGGCTCGCGTTTCTTCGCCGCCTTGGAGACGTGGTCCTGGCGTTGTTGAATCAAGGCTTCTGCTTCTATCGAACTCCGCCGGCTTGATGCTGGGTGCCCGCCTTGAGACCGTCCGCAATGGGCTTCTTCCTCTCTGCGAGCTGCGCCTTATCCTCTGGGGTGGGCTCACTGACCTTCCCCCAGCCGAAGGTGCTCTCGTCCTCGATGATTAGCTGAGATATGTACCCGCCCAAATTATCCTTAATGCGGAACTTCGGGGCCGCCGACTCCACCTGCTTGCCGCCGGCTGCGCGGGCATGGAGCGACTTGACAGATGCCTTATGCGCTTATGCGCGTTAGTGGCCACCTCAACCTGGCCCATGCGCTCAGCAACGACCTTCTTCTGCTGGTCCCTGACATGGCTGATGCCTTCCAGCTTCTCGGTCGCCGCGGACAACTGGCCCTCGAGCGTCAAGAGGTGCGCGAGATCTGAGCAAGTGAAGGCGTGCGCACCAACGGGAGGATGCACCCGCCGCTCGCGTTCAAACTTGCAAGACTGGAGCATGTGGGCGTTGTTCGTCTTGGTGCCCAATTGTTCCATGCTGTGGAGGTCCTGATCGCTTAGGGCGCTGAAGCCGGAGCCGCCGCCGCAGCCCACTCCGACCTGCCTGTGCCCAGCGAGGAACTACCCCAACGAGGTCAGGAGCCATGGGCAAACGTGGAGAGCACGGCGGAGCTGGCCAACCCCCGCACCACCAGCGGGCAACGTCGCACCAAACGGCGTAGGGACCTCGCGTTCTGATCTGGGGACCTGGCAATGTTTGCGCCGCTAGCATTCACTCCTGCTTTGCCACGTCCACACCAAAACTTCAATTTGGGAGCCGCGGCATTCTCTTGCCGGCGCTTTTCTAGACAGTACCACAAGCGCAAACGCCTCCGTTGGGCAAACTCGCGTACGCTATGACTGTTCGTGCACGGGGAAAAGGGATGTCGAAATCATCCCGCGTGCGGGCCTCTGGCGGCCCAAATGACGCGGTGCGTGCTGGCCCTGCGCCGTGCTTCTCGAGCCAGAGCGGTTTGAGGCAGTGGCTACGGTCTTCTCCACCTCCTCCTCCTCCTCCTCCTCCTCGTCCCCCTCCTCCTCTTCCTCTTCGTCCTCCTCGTCGTGCTCCTCGTCCTCGTCCTCGTCCTCGTCCTCGTCCTCCTCCTCCTCCTCCTCCTCCCTCCTTCCTCCCCCGGCGGCGGCCCACCGCGCGGGCTCCTCCGCAGCAGGCGCCTCCTCTTGCGGAGGAGTGCGCGGGAAGGGGGGGGTGCGGGGCGGCCGTGGGGCTGGGGGCGTTCGTGCTGGTGGGAGGCGTTTGTGGGGAGCGCGCCGACCAGTGGCAAGGAGCCCTCCTCCTCCTCCTCTTCTTCCTCCTCCTCCCCCTCATGGGTTTCATGGGTCTCACGCACGATGGATGCAGCAACTGACAAGCACGATGTACGATGCAGCACCAGAAGCACACAAAAAAAAGAAAGGGTGTGAGTGAGCCTCGGGGAACCCCAGCGTTCGTTGGTCTGCGCCGGCGCAAACCCAAGCGCGAGGCGCCGGCCCCCAAAGCAGGGGCGAGCGCTGGGCAACCGCGCCTGGCAACCAACCAGCGGCCGCACTCGGGGGGGAGGAGGGGTTGCGCCAGCCGGAGACCAACCAGCGGCTGCACCCTTCCGCCTACTCATGTTTCTCCTCCTCCTCCTCCTCCTACTCCTCCTCCTCCCACTCCTCCTCCTCCTCCCGTTCCTGCTCCGCGACCGCGACCTCTGCCGAGATCACCCAGAAGTTAGCAACTGGCTAAGAGGCGAAACGGAGACAGAGCGGGCGAGGGGGGGAAGCAGGAAGGGAAAGGGGGATCGCGCCGCAACAATGCAACAATGCACGCACGTACGCCGAGGCCACGCATCCAGCAGGACGCGTCGGCAAGGACATCCTTAGCTGCGCAGGGGGACGAGGACAACGAGTAGGCAACGGGCAACCTCAAACTGGACAAGTCGTGCACTGAAGTCGCCCACTGACTGTTGTCGCTGTGAGAAACGGCCGCGGTTCTGAAAACGAGCCCCCGCCATTCGTGTGGCTGTTGCGTTGCTTGCCACGCTCCTGATCATGGGGTCGATCGATGTTGCGAGCGAGAGCCCCTTGTTCAAAAGGAGCCGCCTTCCGTACGCATAGCTTTTACAACGTGTCAGCACTGCGAGCAGACATTTTGACGAAGTCACAGGCGGGAGCGAACCAATCATCACGAAGAGCGGATTTCCACCATGGGGGGGCCCTTGCCGAGCCCCCGGGCCATCAACGAAACGAATCTCGGCAACGCGCAAGAGTGACTCTGGGCAAACATGACCTCGGCGCGCGGCTACAGGGAGGCCAAGGCAGGGGAAGGCATACATATAGACGTTGGCAGGCCTGCGCGGATTTCTCAAATCCGCGCTGGGTCCCTTCCCTGGCGCGCGGAACGCGCCAAGGGCGGCGCTGGAGGCGCCGCCAAGAGGCCCCGCGCAGATCCGAGACATCCGCGCAGAACTCTGCATATTCATATGTTTGCAGAACGTTGCCTTCTTCGACAAAAGGAAGCCAAACCTGGGCGCGGAAACCAATGCTTGGCCGCTGTTGGGCAGGGGAGGCAACGCGCGCGGCGACGCCGACAACGAACGCTGCTGTTGCTGCTGCTGGTCGTCGTGCTCATTCTTTCCGTATCCATGTCGACCGTGCCGACCAGGGATGCCAGGGGTGGCCACACCCAGGCGTGGAAGCCGCTGCTATCCGGGGGCTCCCTGCGGCCGCGAAGAGGTCGCCACGCCACACCCTTACTTCTTCGGCTTCCGTGGACTCTCGTGCCCTGGGGCTGCCAACAAAAGAGAACCCGGCACAGGTGAGAGACTGGCCCCAGGGAGAAAATCGCGACGATGGTCGGAACATGGGCGAGTTGCCACAACGGCATCGTAAAATCGGTTCCCCTGGACCCCTCGTGGGGTCCAAAAACACAAACTTTCGGAGCTGCGACCAGTCATGGCGACGAGGGCCTCCCCCGAAGGCCCACTACCGTAGTCTCATTTCGTCCTCATCTGAGGTGGAGTTCTGAGGAAATTTGACCTGGGGCGCCAACACAAGTAGCTCTTCGAGCTGCGCCGAGCCGTGGCGACGTGGATTGGGTCGGACGGAAGTTGGTGGACCCCAAACGTGGCGGTGAGCACACCCGGTGGTGAGTTTTGGGCGATTTGGGTAATGGGTTTCGAGCGTTGGCTGGCCCGGGAAACGCAAAACCTCGTGGCGACCGCGTGTCCCCAAACCTGGTGGTGACCCAAAATTATTGTTTTGGAGAATCGGGGTCACCACCGGGTGTCTCACCACCTGGTTTGGAGACCACCAAGGAAGGCGAGGGGGTACATCGCCGGTAGATCGGCCATCGGGCCACAAGAGAGGCACCGCACGGTCGTGGGCGGGGTCGGCTATCGGGCCCCTATCAATGGGCGATTGGGGGTCCATGTATGCACCCCTGAGCCTATCCCCTGCTGAGGGGGGATCGCGCATCGGCTGTAGGCAGATGGTGTTGCTTCCGCCTACCGGCGCCAGAGACGGCCCTGAACACGAATCGGGAAAAATCATTGGTCCCACGTTGTGAAACCTCGCTGATAAAGGAGTTCTACGTCGGGTTGCGATGATTGCGGAAATGGCATCTGCACGCTATGCGTAACATATTTCAGAGAAGTTAGTCATGCTTCCATTGTAACTCATCGCATCTTCTCCTAACTTCACCAAAACTTCTGAGGCAACGCGCAGGCGAATCAAGCTCAGGACCGCAACACAATGGCTGGATTCGATATGCCTGTATCCCAATCGCCCCGCGCCACTGTCTACATGCAAGTCTGCCCTATGTTTGACAAGATCGATCCAGATTGATATCAGATTGACCTCAGATCGACCTCGGGTCAACTCGATCTGACGTCACTCTGAAGTCAAACCAACGTCAATATGAAATCCATGTGACGTCAATCTGAATCAAAATGGGGTCAATCTGAAAACAATATGTAAAATTAATATGACCGTCATGTCAAATCGACTCATAATAATTCAGATCGACCGGCTTTCCGACACACAAAAACTGACACTCACCATGTCGAACGGGCTGGCGTCACGCGTGCACGACACTCCTGGCCACAGAAGATTGTGACCAGATTCTCCTTGAAAGTCGGGTAACGATCTCTCGCGGGTGATGCGAGAAACCCTTGCGAAACCCTTTACTAATCTCAATGTCGCACAGTTTTGGGCATTCATCAGTCGGGGGTCTATCACTTCTACACTGCTTCGGCGCGTGCGATAAAACATGTTCTAGCTGCCCCAGACCCTTATAATGCCCCCCCAGAGGTCCGCAGAATAGATAGGCTTTTACACACGAAACAACTAACTGACTTAGAATATTCGCAAGGCGAACTAGAATATTGCCTAGGCTAGTTGTCAGTATTTCTAGAACAAGCGGGAGCAGACACCTCACACAGCAGGGAGGGGGTCAAGACCTCCAGGGGCCCGTGCTGCGAAGGGAAGCGCGACGTCAGAGTAACGGGGGGGGGAATAGGAGGAGGGGTGGATGGTGCACGCGGCTGGCTCTTCCGGCGCCTTTCGCCGCCAGAGGCGGCCATACATCGAGGAACACGCCCAGTCTCTGGCGACCAGGCCGGAACCAGCTGCACGCAGCAGATCCCGCCCGCCACCGCCGTCCCTTCCCGATCGCCCCCCTGTCGTCCGACCCGAACGCTTCTCGACGCCCGGTTTCTGGGTCAGAACTCGTGCCCCTTGGCGGCCAGTCGGAGCGAGCCGGGCGCCCCCCGAACGCTTTCGGCTGGGCGGAGCTGCCAGAAAGCGTTCCGAAGCTGGAGAGCCACCCGAAACCGACCAGGATGCGCGACAACCTCACCTCGACCTCCGTCGTCGGCCTCGTCTTCGTTTCTCCAAGGTCTCCCCCCCCCCGAGAGGAGGCACCCGAGAGGCCCGAGGCCGCGATTTTTGGTGAGGATCTCTGCGCTTCAGGCTTGGGTGCTTTTCAGCGATCACGCGTTTCGCCCCTTGGAAACGGCTGCAGCCACAAAGTGCAAATGCGACAGGATGCTTGACATGCGCACTGGAGGCCTCCCAAGTGGGGTCCGAGTATCGGAAAATCGCTCGGCGCCGTCGGCATGGAGAAGATCGGGCTCCACATCGGGCCACATCGGGCGCGCTTTTCCGACCCCATGTTCTTGGATCTTATCTGACCTCGCTTGGGAGGCCTTGAGTGCGAATGTCAAGCATCCCTTCACACTTGGCATTTTGTGGCTGCAGCCGTTTCCCAAGGGCGAAGCCGCACGTAGACCGCAGATGAAGCCTGGACCCGCATGCAGATGGGAGAGAACCGGCCTATGGGTTAGAAAACGAATGAACGGTGCAACAAGCTCTTCCGCGATGGGCGGCTCGGCGAGGCGCAGATACCGGAGAGCCCCTCGAGGCAGACCCGCCACCGAGAACTTACGACAACCACTCCAGCAAACCTCGACCTTCGAACGCCCCGAAACCTCGACCCTCGGTCTCGAACGGAGCCAATCCCCCCCGAAGCTGCCCCAGACCCCCCCCGTGGACGCTCCCGAGGGGAAGGCCCCTCTGGCGGCGGGCCGGGCGCCGGGAACGCTCCCACCGCCGCGGCGGCAGCGCGCACGCGTCCTCCCCGCCGCCCTGCGGGTTCATCTTCTCGTCCTGGTCCATGGCCGCCGGGTGCCCCCACCTTCCAGGCGGACAGCACCCCGCGACAGTGACGACAAGCGGCCTTCTGCCACCCCTTGGCGATCGGGACGCGGTCGTCGCTTCTTCGAGGTTCTCATGCCTCGAGATGCGCTCCAGCAGCTGCGCCTCGCCTAGACCGTTCGGGGGGTCCCCCAGTGATCCCGAACGGCCGCCAGAGGGCCCAGGCATTGCCCGAAAAACAAGGGCAACATTAGATGGGGGTATAGTCCCAGGGGGCGACCCCACATCGCCCACTGATCTGCGATAAGGGCCTGGTAGCCCAACTCCATTAGAAACATGCGACTGCGCTGTCGGAGGTACATCGCCGATCTATCGCCGATTCCAAGTCGATGTTCCCACCCTGGGCCAATGCTTCGCCGGGGCTCGCTTCGTCGTGGTCCTGGGGGAAAGGTTGCCCTGAGGTTTTCCGTCGTTTTTCAAGGCCGCCGAATGGAGTAGGAGCAGGTGAGATCGCAGGATCGCGCCGCTTCGACGATGTATCGGCGATACGGCTCGGTTCGTTCGGCGATGCCTCCCGCGGGTACCCTTGATTGGCCCTGGGGCTGTCAATCAGACAGAGAAGGAGAAAAACCGTGCACGTCGGGGGTGCGTCGGTAGAAGGGCTGGGACGACCGTGTGTCGTGGGACTGTGCCTATGGAGTGGCACCGCGTGACAGGCCGCTGAGTTACCCCATGCGGCGTGGCCAGAAAACTCGCCTCGGGGCTCAGGACCAAGGTCCCTCGGTCGGGCGGATGGCGATGGGAGGGCAATGAACACTGGGGGGATCGAGGATTGCAGGCAAGTGGCCCGAAAAAGGCCCTGCATGGCCCCTGCCATCGCGGGCCCAAAAGGTGCACGAAGGGCGTACATCTGTTTTCGCCTGGACCATCCCGGTCCAGCATCTGGCTGGCGCCAGCCCCCTGCATCAGCGCCTGACGTTCGCGGCAACGTGAAGAACAGCCTGATGCTCCCGCTTCTGCAGTCCAGCAGGCCCTTTTCCTGGTGTGCTGGTTCACCTTGCTCTTCGCGCTTCCAGCGGCAGCCCTGGCTTCGGTCCCTCGTTACTGAGCAACTTTCAGAGGGTACCCTTGCATCCCTGCCCCTGCGGCCCATGCTTGGCGACTTTCGCCTGGCCAACCCAGTTCGAACACGCCAACGTGGCCCTCCAAAGCCCTCGCATTCTTACCGCACAGCCTCATTATGCGACTCGATTTCATGCTCTTCCTCCCCAAAGGGGGGCACGGTCCCGCCTTGCGGCGGGGGCCCGCTCCTCTCGCGGGGGCCCCACGTAGCAGCGGTTCGAGCCGACTGGAGGCCCGAGATCGGCACAGCCCGAGCCGTGGAAGCACCGAGGACGTGGTCGGAGCGCACGGCCCCGCAAACAGAAACCCGCGATCCTCGCGTGGCAGCCGGCTTTGCGGCGAGAGCTAGGTCAGAGCCGACTGGCGTGCGCTGGTGGGCGATGGTGCTGCGCTGGTAGGCTTTCTGGGGTGCGGTGGTGGGCATTGTCCAATCAGAGCCCGCCGCAGGCGCCGCATTCCTACACATTATACAACGAGCCTGCCACAGGCGCCGAGTTGTCGTTCAAGCGATGTGAGAAAGTCGCGGGTGGGTCGCCAGCAGCAATAACAATGATTTTAAGACTGTTTGTTCTTATTCGATTACGTGCCACGCAACGCGTATATCCCAAACCCTCGCTACCCGCCCTCTTTGTCTTGGACCGTACCCCTCGGGGGTAATTATATCCTCCTTACCTGCCACTCACATGTAGCGCAGCCCCTAAAACAGTGGAAGGGGGGACGGATGGGGGGAGAGAAGGATGGACCACGAGAAAGGGCCTATCGGAGCAAATCGCGATGAAGCATCGAGCGGGAGCCCTTGTCATCGCGGCTGCGCCCCCACTAATTTGACTGATTTGCCAGGAAGTCTCCAGCGAGACCGCTGTCCCTGAGTTCGGGAACCTCTCTGGCCAGGGCCTCCCGGAGTAAATCGCGAGGAAATCCGCCGATCCGGCGTGTGAGTTGAAGGGGGGGGTGGGCCGGGGTGGCTCTGCCGGGTGGGGGGTGGGGGGGGGCTTCCACAGATTGGGTTCGGTTGGTCGGGGTTCGGTTGGCCAAAACGGACCCAAACGTTGCCAAGAAGCCGCCAAGTCGGGCCAAGACGTTTCTGGATCGCCCAAAAATCGATCCAAGACGCCGAACATGAACCCAAGACAGCCCAAGAGGCCGCCAAGACGCCCCCAGAGGCCCCCAAGAGGTCTCCCAAAAGGGCCCCGACCAGCCACAATCATCGATCTCCCTTAGGAAACCCTACATTTTTAGCAGGTTCGCCTCTTGGGCCTTCACAGTGTCCAAAACGGCTCAAGTAGCCCTCAAAAAGGCTCCAAGACGGCCTCAGAAGGGCTTACGCAGGCCCAGGAGGCCCCCAAGACGGCGCAAGAAGGCTCCAGGACGGGCCCAAGAGGCGCCCAAAAGGGCTCCAAGACGGCCCAAGAAGGGCCCAAGACGGCCCAGGAGGCCCCCAGGAGGCCCCAAGACGCCCCCAAGAGGCCCCAAAAGGCCCCAACTGGCCCCCAAGGACCCCCCAGTGTCCAAAACGGCTCAAGGGGCCCTCAAAAAGGCTCCAAGACGGCCTAAGAAGGGCTTACGCAGGCCCAGGAGGCCCCCAAGACGGCGCAAGAGGACGGGCAATCCCGAGCGCGATCCTGGACAGTCCCGGGCGCCACATCTTAATCACCATCACAACCACCATCACCATCACCAGCATCATCATCAGCATCAGCATTAACATCCCCATCACCATCACCATCATCATGATCGACATCATGGTCAGTGCCATGATCAAAATCATCCTCCTCCTCCTCCTCCTCCTCCTCCTCCTCCTCCTCCTCCTCCTCATCATCATCATCATCATCATCATCATCATCATCATCATCATCATCATCATCATCATCATCAGCAACATCATCGTCATCAGCATCATCATCAACATCAGCATCATCATCAGCATCGCCACCACCACCACCACCACAATCATCATCATCATCATCGTCGTCGTCGTCGTCGTCGTCATCATAATCATCATCATCATCATCAGTATCATCATCATCATCAGCAGCAGCATCATCATCATCAGCACCATCGTCATCATCATCAGCATCATCAGCATCATCATCATCATCGTCATCGTCATCGTCATCGTCGTCATCGTCGTCATCGTCATCATCATCATCATCATCACCACCATCATCATCATCATCATCAACATCAACATCAACATCAACATCATCAGCATCATCATCATCATCATGTTCATCATCATCATCACCATCATCATCATCACCATC